TTGAATTTTTCAAGCTCGAACGGCAAAGCCTCTTCTAACGTCGTCACATGCATGTTACGTCAAGTTGAATTTTTCTTTGCGACTGCGATATGTTAACATTTCTCACTTCCTGTCTGGTATCCTCATTAAAATTACCTGGCGAGATTCGAGGACAATTTTCACCGTTGGATTTAAACAATAGTCTAGTCCTGTAGTACAGAATAAGGGCATACAAATCTCGATTTGCTAACTTTCTCGTTATCAATTTTAGTGTTCCGTTCTCAAAATATCAATTTGGCCTATATTGTGCTTTGTTTATTTCATTTCACCTTATTATATTATGTTTTGAACTGACAGATCTTATCTCCAGATATACAGTTATACAGAAAACATGACTTATATGTTAAAATTCGGGTTGTATAATATAAACATGAATTAAAATTAAGAATGAAATACACTTGAAAAAATTGTTTATTGAAATTAACAGAAAATATTCCAACTGGCAATGAGCCTATATATTTTATTTATTTAGGCCCTATATTATAATGTATTATACATAATTTTTATATTATAGGCCTATAAGTTTTTTGTATAATAAATGTAATTTATTAAATCTAATTGCGCTGTCGGGTGGTGGGGGGGGGGGGGGGGGACAGAGATTTTTGTAATATAATCATAGAAATAAATAATTATGCATCCAATAATGGTATGATTCATGTTTAGTTCGGGCAGTCGGACCAAAAAAAAAAATAAATAAAAAATAGGCCTAGTTTTCCCATACCAGCCAATGAAGAAGTCAAGCAATCTAGAAGTCCAAATTTTTTAAAATAAAAAACTCATTTTGGGTGTAGAGGACTCCCCTCCCATACCCAACCCCTCCCATACCCCGGATCTGGCCTTCGGCCCTCGGATAACGCTGCGCGCTATAGTTGCACCCATAAATACTTAGCCCCCCCCCCCAGTCGGACACCTTAGGCCCCCTCCATAAATTATATTCTAGAGCCGCCACTGTGTATAGGGCTAACAAAATCTATAAGAGTTTACATGCCTATCATTGTGTTTGAAAAAAGTGGAGGATATGCTTCTTTTTAACCATTTTATTATAAATTCGTAAGTCAATGAGAGTTCTAGTTCGTCGACAATTATGTTGTATAGGCAAGATATACAGACAGCATACGTTTCCGCTTACGTTTCTTATGAAAAGTTGACTCCAAGTCAACTTTTCATAAGAATCGTTTGCAACGCAACGTATGCGAGTTCATCCAACAAAAAGTCACTAAATCGCGGTTTCCTGTCAAATAGTGGAAAATCGACGTATCACATGAAAATTTAATACGTCGGTTTCCTGTCCAAAACTGTTTTGCGACGATTTTAGTTTACGTTACGTCGATTTCAAAACGCACCAGTCGTAATCGGTTTCCTGTCAAATCGCATTTTCTTACGATAAAACGACGTAATCGTAAGTAAATCTACCTTCTTACGTCGACAGGAAACCAGGCTTTAGCCAGGACCCAATAGTATTTTGTTACGTTTCTTCACAGAGGGGAGTTCGTCCGAACTCCTTGGATCCGCCACTGGATCCGCCACTGCTTTCCATTGACACCAATCATGACCATGTTTTATGTGGTGCGTCAGCCATCTTGAAATTCAAAATGGCGCCGATGACTTTGGGAAAATAATGGCACCTAACTTTTTTGAATTCAGCGCAGTAAAAATGATAAAAATTAGTCAATAAAATCTATTTTTGTTCAAAAATCTATCTGGATTACATAGAAAACTAGCTTATATACTCGTTCTTATTTTATGTACATTAAGTAAGTATGTTTTTCGATTATTTTTAAACAAATAAACACCTATTTTTTAATTATGTTCCATTCTGGCTTGAGTGACAGTAGTTTTTATATGTCTAATTTGTTGCCTGTCTAGAAATTATGAGTTTAGACAGCAAAATCATATCTGTAGCTTATTTAGTTTCAATTTTATGCACATTTTAGACAAATTTGGCGGCCATTTTGAAAAACGGCCGCCATTTGTATACAAGGAGTAAAATCAAGTGCCAACAGGGCTTAGGGTGACCAGAAGGAAATAATTAGGATATTTGGCTATGTGGATTGCTTCTAACATTCCACTCCCCCTAACTCATTTTTTTCAGATTTTTTTTCTAGTCTAATAACAAAGAGACGTTTCATCATGAACAAAGTTTTTATTAAAGCCGCTTGTTACAGCGAATGCGTCGCTTGCACACGCTGCTAAAGTGTCAGATGATGCGTGCTATTTGAGTTATAAGCTGTTTTTGTGTCTATGCCCCCTCGGGACTAGTCGTCTAGTGTTAACCATGTAAGATCCAGTAAATAAGGTACGTAGGAATGATAGGATGAGTCATGAGCTAAAGATAAAAATAAATATAAGACCTGTCCTATAAAGATCACTACAGTAAACAACACCACACATTTCTTGATAACCCAATGCCCATGTGGATACTTTATTACCAGGGAACAGTGAAATTAATGTAAATTAATGTAATTTCACTGTTCCCTGTTATTACTAAACATAATACCTGTATAGTAAGGTAGTCTTTCAAAGTCTTTCGGAATAACAGAGTGTGCGTAAAAGTTTTTGGAAGAAGGAGAAAGCTAAGACGTGTGTGGCTGAACCGTGTTTGGTTGAATCATAGTAGAAAAAAAAAACAATCAACAATTTGCGGGGGGGGGGGGAACACAAATGTACTGTATTATTTATTTAATAAAATATATTTAATTTGTATACAATGAAATTTTGTCACTGAGAGAACAGATAATGATGTCAAAATATTGTATACAGGCCTATATATGGAGGTTTCATGTCAAAAGTTTTTGCCAGGATTTGTTATGTTGGTCCCTAGCGCGGCTGGGCTGCTGGGCCGCGGCTTGGTGCCTGGAATCGTAAATAGGCCGTGAAGTAAAACGTTTGCGGAACACTGGCTTATACTGATATAATCTAATTGATTTGGCACCCGGACTTTGTCAGCCACTCCCTCGGCTTTTGTCAGGAATATAATTACCTTATCATAAGCACCTGTTATTATTATACAGAACGATACAATTATCAAGTACTTGATCTCACCGTTAATGAACACAGGAGAAACATCCGTGAAATCACACTACCAAAGAATATACTGTTATACTTC